GTAGATATACATCATTTTTCTAGCATGCCATGATTAACCAATGCACCTTGTTTATATAAGCCCCCATATTATGTTTTTTTCCCAATAAGGATATTTCATGGCTTATAATCCTAGATAGCGCACAGTTTGTCACACTGAAAAAGATTCATAGGTATGCCTCATGTGAACTGTTTGGCTTTGTCCAACTTTTAAATCTTTCCTCATCAGCCTTTGATAGCAGTGCTGCAAAAATAGCCTCTCTTTTACCATTCATTGTTCAGACTTTCATATTACAAGCCTCTATCCTTGTATACTTTAACTCTCTTCTTAAGCAGTTCCTTAAGAAACTCATTTTTTATCCCTTGTATTATATATTTCACTGTAAGAAGAATGGTTGCATTTATATTTTATACGTAATGGGTCCTTACACAACTAATTGAAAATTGCAAACTTCTTTTGGTGCATGTTCCGTGCCATGCATAGCTTTTAATTACTTTTTAAAATAATGACTTTGCTAATTATGATGAATCTGTAGGGGCTGATCTGTAATTCCATAGTTTTGTCATTCTATGCAGGACATTCAGAAGCATACAAAAAGACTAGGAACTAGGTTTACAAGATGGTATTTGCTTTTGGTTTTATTGGTGGGAGGGATTCATCTGCTTTCTCTTCTGTTTATGAATATTTTCAGTGGTATCATATACATGGATTATTTGAATGATTTATCTGTTTATTTGCCCAGTGCTGGCCTGAATTCATTTTGCTTATATTTTCTAATTAAGATTCTCCAACAAGTTGTGTGTGTGTGCGTGCACACACAATTCCTTTGCCATTTGGGATCCAGTGAAAAGTCACATTTTTGTAGAGTCTTCCTTCAACAGGATTAAGCTCTCCCATGATAGCTCCTTCCAGCCTGGCTTCTTAATTCTAAGCAAGAGGAAGCTGAAAGAAAATTCTTTGATGAAAAACAATATGGCGGTGTCATAGAACAACAAATCAAATCTTATTGTTTCAACTAAAGTTCTGATTGAGCATTCTCTCAAGTCAGTTAAGTCTTCAAAGTCAGCACTTCTTGTGCTTCTCTCATTTCATTGTTTTTACTTTTTATCAGCAGAACTCATGAGCCTTTATTGAAATGTCTTCATGCTATTTTCACCCTCACTGCACTCTGTGAAACTTGAGTAAGTGACTTTTGGGGCCCTTTATATTCTTAAACCTTCACACCCATCCAGACAGTGCGTGCTTATCCAGACACAAATGGCTATAAGTGTTTGTATACACACAGATACACACACACACACACATATGCACACACACGGTTCAGAACAATCTACCTTCTCAGGTTTACCTTCTGATTACCTCTTCTGTGATCCCATGACCTACTTTCATATATTTTTGAGGTAGCAGTTAAAAGATGGTGGTGATTGCAGTCTGAAGAGCTAATTCTTACATACCTGATATTTTATTTTCAGAAAGAGAGGAAATATGTTTCTTAGTTTTAAAAAATGTATTCCAGAATCACAAATCTATTTTCAATAAATTAGTTATGCATATAAATTAGATTATATCAAGGTTTTAGTAATATTAATTGAAGTATGTATGGAATAGTTCAACAAGAAATCATATGGTATTTTTATAAATGCATGCTTCCAATAATGTGTGATTTTAATTTTAATCGGTGAACTCAGACACTGGGTGAATAGAGTTCCACTAAAGCAGGGGGACTTTCTCTTCCCTCTGGACCCTACAATCCCTTAGCATCCCCCTCCAGAAAGCTCCTCCAACCCTCCAGAACAGACAGTGCATAGCAGGCTGCAGGAGAGTGGGAATTGAACCCTTCTAGTTTTACTGAAAGAAACTGTTCTCTTGGCAAAAAGGGTTGATTGGGTATCAGCCAGTGTTCTGTAGCTAGACTTTTATCTTGCACTTGTTTGTTTTGTTTAATTTTTAATCTTATGGGTAGGTCTGGATATTTGGTATGAAATAGCCTGTTTTTAAAATAAAATGTGCCCTGCCTTTCCATTGAAATTACTACCCGACACAAAAGGAGTTAAGTATATCAAATGTTTGCACAGGCATGGCTGTGGATATATCCTATCTATCTTGATACTTTTAATTAAAATGAGACATTCAAGAGAATTGGTTGTCAGTGGGGAATTTGGCAAGGCAGTCAGAATATCAAAGCTTGGCCAAAAGTGAGGTGATTATGCTAGGCAGGTCATCAGAGTAGGTAGCACTATATCTCATGGGTTACAGTCCATATTTGTTTGTTTGTAGATGTGCATATGTCCCGCCTCTCATCCTTGGTTCCTGAGGCAGCTTGCACCAAACTTTAAAGGTCATGCAACGAATCGGATGTATTAAAAAGAATAAAATGAGTAAAGCCAATCAAAACAGCAAAACTGCCTGGAGCAAAATACCATTTAACTCTTCCTCAGGCCCTTTTCTCCTTGTCATCTTCTGCAATCTAGAAGGAGCTGCTCTTGAGGGGCTGTATCAGTGGCTAAAAAGAATTGAGGAGTGAGTGGAGGGCCAGATGTGTACCTGTTGCCTCTTTCTGTCCTGAGTTATAAGTAGAAAGATATGTTTTTAGTATCAAGCTTTGCATATGTTCCTCTCATTGTAAAGGAACTGCTGATCTTATTTGACCTGAAGTTACATATCTGCAATTACGTACCCTGCCATAGCATTAAGTGACTCTTTCTCCATCAGTTAGTGTATTCATATACATGGAAAGCATTTTTCTTTTAGAGTGCAGTTAAGAAAATGAAATACTTGAAGCAAATTAGAGTGCAAAAAGCAAAGAAGCAATTGGTATTTGTCAAATGCAGTCTGGATTTTACAAAACAGCTGAAAGTGAAAATGGTTGGTAATAATTTAACTTAGTTTGGATGCAATTGGGAAATGGGACAAATGTCATTTTTGCAAAGCCATGGAATCCTCCCAATAAGTTGTACCTGTGATGGTCTCTTAGCCCTCTGAAAATAGTTTCACACTCAGACTCTGAACCTCGCAGAGCTCAGATTTGGCCTGTCCTTTATACGTGGTGTTCCCATTTCTGCACCAGACGGGGGTTCTGGTGTAATAAAGAAGTGGGGACAGAGTTTCCTGCGACCACCCAAGCTGAGTTGAGCCAGGTAATAATAACCCCACTTTGTAGGAAATTTACTTCAGTGCGCAGGTTGACTGCCAACTTTATTCACCGCTTTAAAATGAAGCTATGAGGTTAGCTCTGGCATTACATTTTTGTGATGAGGTTATGGATTTGCATGGCCTGCCAGCCTCTGTGCTAATGAGTTGGCCCTTCACGCAGCAGCATGTAGGGTCATTAACTTTCCTTAATAACCACTCTTGGAGCTAGCAAAGTCCTATTTTTCTCTGTGGTGTGGTGAACACAGAGGGTCTGTGGAGTGAAGCTTTTTAGTTCCATAACTGTCTGAACAAGGGTAGATTGTGAGTAGCAGGAATGTAATAAGGCAGAAAAAAGTGATTTGGGTATCAAAAGCACAAGTGACAGGAAAATAGACAGCTGTGAGGACACAGAAAAGAGACTCAAGCTCTGAATTTCCAGTGGTTAAGAAGACATTACCGAGTAACTCTAGACTTCTAGGCAGTTTTGTGTTACTAGCAGAGCCACCATCCCACCACCTGTGGTTGCTGTGAGGCATATATTGACCAATAGCCCTTTGCAGAAAATAGCCGTCTTGGATCACGTTTACCTCTCTGATGTGCTGGGCATTCAGCCCTGCCCTGCCTCGCCTCATCACAAAATGACCAGGTCACAAATAAGCTTCTGCCAAACAAATCCACTTTTCCACTTGGTCAGGCTCAGGGGTAAACTTATGGATGCTGTAGTCCCCAAGCATATTAAGATCTAATTTCTCAGATGCAAATATGTAAACCATAAATAAAATAAAAATACTTTAAAATGAGTTATAGCTTTCTTTCAACGCTATTTCAAGTATAGGGCTAACAGCGGTTTCTGAAGACGATGATAGCAACAGCAACGAAGGACAGATTTGCTGACCTTTAATGGCATTTGCAATTCTAATATGGTTTAGGATTCATGGTTATTTATCCCACAGAGAGACTGTGGGGTGTGTGAGGCAAGTGTGGATACCATTATGCAGGTTTCATCTGAGGGTTGTCATGTTGTGTGAATCCGTTGAACATAGGTTGTATGAAAGTTAACACCTCACATAACACTATAACATCGTTTGGGTTATGCGAGTGTTGCTTAACCTTTACATAACTCATGCTTTCTGGGTTCAACCAACCCAACAACCCCAAAGAACCCATGATGAAGTAACACTGTACTGTGCTAAGGAGGTTCCTGAGTAACAATAGAATCACAAGAGCTGGAAGGTGGTGTTCTGTATGTGTAGAATATGGAAACGTTTATTGGTTTTTAACCAGATATATTACAAGCAGGTGTAAAAAGTGCAGGTGTATAACACTAGCCTGAACAGGGTTTACATAGGATTTAATCCTATTGCACTGAATAGGATTAGCAATGCATATTGCACTGCACTGTACTGCACTGCACTGCTCATCACTTCCTTGGATCATTTGTTTTGAAAATTTTAAGACAGATTTTAGAGAAAAAAATTAACTGCAGTGGTAGAGGGCTAATGAAGTTGTGTTGGGGTGTACATCCAAAAAAACCCAAAGGCTGGTCTAGAAATCTATAACTTGATCTCACTGAGGTGTGTGTTAGAACTTTAATTTGCCTCTGTGAAAACACCAGATTTTATCTAGATTAGTTCCAGGACTGGATTTTTCCACCACAATAAGGACTTCACCTAATTTACTTCCCACCCACACTCCAGCTCATCCAGTTCAGCAGGATTTCCTAACTATATAACCTGGTGTCTGGGGGGGCTGCAGTAAGAAAGAAGGAGTAAGAAAATCTACTTCCATTAGCCAGGCTCATGCATCTTAAATCTGGATTGAACCTCTCGTGTAAAAACAGATTCCCTAGCCGCAATAAGACTAATCTACATATTTGTTTATTGTTCTAGGTTCCATGGTTCCTTTTTCCATGCGGATTTTGCATGCTGAACTTCAACAGTACTTAGGAAATCCTCAGGAGTCACTTGATAGGCTGCATACTATGAAAACAATCTGCACAAAGGTAAATGTTTTTCTAGACTGTCAACTGAACATTTAAGCAGCTTTGCTGTCTGTATAGAGCGGCTAGTTCAAACGCCAAGCTTCAGCCCTCTGTTGAGCAGTAAATAGATGCAAATATGATGTAGTAACACCAAAGGCAAGCTGAAAATGGAGGTTCTCTTTCTGCAAACTTGCTAAAAACATGAGACACGAGTTGTTTTTAGACACAAGACGCAACTGGGAATAATCCTCCCTTGTTTTCACATGAGATTTTGATATCAGCATGCTTGGAACATCAAAAGTAATCTCACATAAATCTTCAAAGGAGCTAAAACAGTGACAAGTTATTCAAGAATTGTCAGGGTCTGAAATCTGGGTCTTGAGTGATCATGGGTAAATTCAGGAACAGGGTCCTGGAAAACAGGCTTGAATTGAAAGTGAGGAATGCTAGAATGCCTAAAAAGAATGAATGTTTCTGTCAGCCAAAAAAGCAGCCTCTTACTTGGCCATTTCAGAGGCATCTTACTAACTTGTCCCTTACTGAGGCTGATGTCACACATTTTTTCATTTCTCTGTTTGTAGTGGGGTCTGTGATCTTACCACACATCATTCAGCAGTAGCTCATTTGCCTTGACCCCAGTCTCAGATGCCAAGTCCCAGAATCATTAGCAGTCAGTGTCAAGAGCTACCTGATTTAAAACTAGGAGTCCTTGGAATTTTGTGTTGCTTTTGTGAGGGGTGAACTAGCTGGGCTACAAGTTTTCTTTAGACGCTGGCTTGCCCCCAGCATGGCCCTTCCAGTTGGTAAATTGCCTAGACAACAGGCAGCATCTGACTCCACTGCGGAGTCCTAGTTTCTGGCTCTTCACTCTCAATAACTGTCTGCCCAAGGCCTACCTCTGCAATCAGCTGTGATAAGCAAGTGATCTCAAGCCAACTTTTCCAGGACATTTATTGGAATATACCAAGATATTGGGTTTGGGGCTTGATGCCTGTTAAATACATACACTACCACTGGCAAAAACATCTCCCTCCACTTACGTAGTGATGCTGATTTGCAGTGAACTTCATTGGCAGCTGTCATGTTACTTGAAAAACGAGTGGAGCTGCTTCACTGGTTTCCAGAAAGCATTGAAGCTCTGACTAACCAGAGTGTTAGGGTCTAATTTGATAATTCAAACAATGTTGCATACTTTAAAGTTCTATTAACTTCAGCTGGGTAGATGCAAGCACATGGAATTCTTTTCTACTGAAATCAGTGAAATTTACATGTGCTTAAAAATTGGCTTGTACTTTGTTCCTTGGGCTTTTAGAGTAAGTTCCTTCAGCACGAAGAGATGATAACATTGTTTGGGTATCTGGAGTTCTAAGTTCCCAGTTCCAAGGTCTTACAGCCCCACTGAGCTCCCCAAACTGCCTAATATTTATCTTCGGGTTAGTCACCACTAGTTCATTGTCTTTCAATGTAAAGTTTTTTTTTAATGTAGTACTTTATTCTTTCATTAAATTCACTTGTCATATTGTCATTCAAATAGTGTGGAGAAATTCTTTTGGTGCTCTTCAAGGCTGCTCAAATAATTAGTGACCTGAATATTTGGACACTGCACTGTCCACCTGTACTCTAGGTCAGTTACGAACAAGTTTAATAATCATAGTGCCAATACAAGTACAGAGGAAGCCCAGTCTCGTATTTAATTGCCGATTTAGTCTCTGCTTCTTGCTGTTTGAAGAAGGTGCTAATCCGTAAAAAGATTAAAATCTCTTCATATGTTAACTTGGAAGCTTTTGGTTAAGGTCTTTGCCAAAAGCCTTCTTTGAAGTTTAACCATACAGTGTAAACCAGATCACCACTTTCTACATAGTTATTGACATGCAAAGAACTCCAAAAAGTTTTTGAGGCAAGCTTTTTTTCTGAAGCCGCACGGTGTGTTCCTCCAGAAATCTGTTCTTGTACATGCTTTAATTATGTTTTCTGCCAATTAACCCTGATGAGATATCATGCTAACAAGATAGAAAGCTTGTAGTTTCTGGGATTTCCTGTGGATCTCTTTCTTAATTTGGCATGACATAGTCCACTTTCCAGTCCTGTTGAGCCAAGGCATATTTTTGAAAAAGAAGTTTATTGTTGAAGAATTCTTGAGTGAATGCCTTCTCAACCAAGTGATTTGCTAAATGCTTACGTATAGGTTCTAGAACATGGGTCCTTAAACTACGGCCTGCGGGACCGATCTGGCCCGCCATGGCCATCTATCCGGCCGGCACCGCTATTCGCCGCCCGTGTGCGGGCGGGGAGGTGGTGGCTCGCTCGCTCATTCGGAGATGGTTTTGGACTTGTTGGGGGATCTCCCAGCGAGATCAAAACCATCTCCGAGGAGCAAGCCGCCACCACCTGTCTCCTCCGCACGTGCTGCTGCCTTGCAGCACGGGCTGGAGGCGGTGGCTGGCTTGCTCGCTTGGAGATGGTTTTGAACTCACTGGAAGATCTCCGAGCTGAGTGAGCCACCGCCGCGCATGCCCAATGCCACCTCGCGTGCACCCAAGGATGCCTCACCAGCCCCCACGCCCAGCCCCCCCCCACCGACCCGCACATGTAGCTGCCACCTTTCTACTGGCCCCCTATTGAAAAAGTTTGAGGACCCCTGTTCTAGAAATTCATCTCTTATCCCCTCTGTTTGGCCTTATTCTTCATTCACCCTGAAAGAATCATCTAAGGCAGAATATCAGTCCTACATTTTTCTACAGGAAATATGGATGCAACGTATTCATTTCAGTTTAATAATTTTCTCTGCAGCCTCCCTATCCTCCTCTAGCACTGCTTTCAATTTTTTGGTGTCTAATGGTCCAACCATCTCTCTGGCCATTTTCCTTCTGACATTTATAGAAATATGTATTATGATTTATTTTCTTACATTTAAATCCTCCCAATTACAGAAGTTCTCTGGGCAGATAACATAATACTAAAGGATTGAATATGTAACTCAGAATAAATAAAATCAGCACAGGAAATAAAAAAATACAATGTAAAATATGTGAAAGCAGTTCAAATGTCTGGGAGAAGAGGAATGTGTTCAATGATGCCAAAATAAAATAATAAAATAAAATGGGGCTAATTTAACTTCAGTTCTGGATGATTGCTTGGAAGCATTACTATAGATAGAATCAGTAAGCACATAGAGGGTTAAGTCCTGCTGAAAATCAACACTGCTTCTGTGAAGAGAAGTCCTGACTCAGTAACCTAATAGAATTCTTTGAGAGTAAGTGGACAGGGGATCCAGTTCACATTGTTCACTTGAATTTCCAAAAGGGTTTTGACAAAATGCTTGCCCAAAGGCTCCCAAACAAACTTAGCAGTGATGGAACAAAAGGTGGGGGTCCTCATATAGATCAGTAATTGCTTAAAGAGCAGAAAACAGAGAGTGGTAATAAAGAGTAATTTCACTCAATGGAGAGATGTTACCAGTGGGGTCCCAAAGGGTTTTGTAGTAGGTCCAGTGCTTTTCAACCTATTCATACATGATCTGGATTTAGAAGCAAACAATGAAATGGCCAGGTTTGCAGATGACAACAAATTATTTAGGGTGCTTAAAATCAAAAAGAATTGTCAGGAACTCCAAAGAGATCTCCGAAGCCTGGGAGAATGGCCATCAAAATGGCAAATGCAATCCAACATAAGCAAGTGTAAAATGATACATATTGGGGCAAAAAGATGGCAGCACTGATGGAATCTGATCTAGCAGTGGCTGATCAAGAAAGGGATCTTGGCGTAATAGATGAAAATGAAAGGAAGACGTGTTCATGTTGTTCAGTTCCAGCCAGTACCCTAGCACCTCTGTTTTGATCTTGCTGATATTCCTAAAGCATTTTCAAGGGTAGCTCTATGCTCAACACATTATCCAACCAGGTGGTTACCAAAGGATGAGGAACTATCACCAAGTTGTCTGGCCAGGTGCAGATAGCTATGCAAGTCAAAGAGACTTCTATCCACCAAGGCCACGTGAGCCTCAGATGTCAACAATGGATCCAGGAACATCCCCAAACTGCTCCTGAATCTTTAGTGGCACCACCACCACCTTATGGAAATGGTCATCCAAGTGGGAATGGGAGCACTATAAAACACTGCCCCAACTCAAGCAGTCAGTCCAGAAGGTTATCTCAGCTTGATGGACTTGAAAGAATCCCAGCAGGGCTGTTTTTTCTCAGCTAAGGTCATTCCCCAAGTTCATCAGGGCAGTTTCTGCCCCATAACCATACAGAAAGCTGAACTGAGATGCATCAACAAACTGTTGTCATTTAAGAGACCTGGAACTGGTGCTTTTTAGCAATCTTGTCCTCAAATTCTGTTTTTCAATTGCCTTATCTGCTTAATTCCTTTGCCAAAATTTGTGCTCCTTTCTATTCTTCCTGTTTGGGCAAGATTGCCATTTTCAGAAGGAACCCTTTTATATTTTACAGCCATGCATTCATTATTCTAGCATTAAATAGAGTATTTAAAGTATTTTCCCTGTTGCTTCTTAGAAGTTTTCCTAGCATCCTTTTTATTTCATGGAATATAGAGCTTTGTTTATAATTCGAGGAAGAATGGTAGATTGTGAATTCTTTCCACTGAGTAAATATGTAGCCTATAGGCATTACCTGTAAAAACCACAAAGGAAAATCAGAATTGTGTATTCTGCACTTCAGGAGCCTCAGTGGAGTGCCTTGCTTTTTCTGAAGGTTTTTAAGCTCCTAGTTTTGTTTTTCATTTGGACCACTGGCCTTGCTTACATAAATCAATATACTTTGTCCTGGTGAGCCAGCCTAGTAGGGGATTGTCTTCAGGCAAACAAAAGCTGCAGCATGGATATTAATTTATTTTTTTCCTCATTCATCTCTGTGAAATATTATTGTGGAAATCTAGCTGGGACCACTTAAAGACTGGTACTGGTAAGGGGAACAGTCAAGCAGGCATTCACCTGGAGACATATTGGAGGATGGAGGGGAGGAATGTAAAAGGGGAAATCATAAGTTTAAATTTATTCCATTCTTCCAAACCTCCAGTGATGATTACGGTACAAGAATTTGCTATGTACAAAAGGGTAGTGTTTAGCCCTAATATTAGCTTGTTTTTAAATATACTGTCGAGCAGAGGTGGGCAGACTTTGTGCTTGTGGGACCTACTTCATTATTTACTAAAATCCCAACATCCACTAACCAGAATGAGGTGTGAAATAATGACTGGGGAGCAGAAGGATTTGGGAACTAGATGCTAAATGCTGGTTAAGGAAGTAAAGTAATTATGTCTTGAAGCATATGAGTGATAGGATGACCTGCATTTGAGTTACTATCAATCAGGGATTCTAACACATATCATAAATTAACCAGCAAAGCTGCACAAAAGTCTAGTTAAACTCAAATACTTCAAAAGTGAGAAGTACAGAGTCTGAGACTGACACAAGGCAAGGACTTGGGCATCACCCCTGAACAATGGTCCCGCCTGAACTAGGGGTGACCTGCTGTTATATTGGCATGTTCTTATAGTAGATGCTTCAGGATCAGTTTAGGCATGCAGACATTGTGCTCTGCTGCGTCTTAATAGTGTCCCCCTTTCCTGGTGGAAGGTGAGTTAAGATCAGGGCTTGACTAGAGGCCCCCTCCTCCTCTCTGAATGCTATATGGCTAGTGCAGTGTGAGCAAGCATCTGTAGGTCTTCCCACATTATGTGATTTATTTTCTGTCACTTTGTATTGTGGCAAGCATTTCCACCAAAAATGGACAGGGCCCTGTCAACAGAGAAGGGGCCTGTATCATGGTATCTCCCATTTCTGTTAGAAAGGCTTGCTCTTGTTCCATACGATTGCCACATCATGCAAATTGAGTGGGACTATTCCCAGGGGCATCACTGAAAGGGACATTTCTTCCCATCCCAGTACCTATTGTGCTTCTAACATGTGAAAAAACATCTTGCTCCTAATGAAGGAAAAGTGAAAGCTTTAAAAAAAAACCTTTCCTTTGTAGAGAAAGAGATCCAATTAATGAATCTAAACACTATAAAAGTGCCCCTCCAAGGAGGAGGAGGAGCAGCCGCTACCGCCAAGAAACAGCACCAAACCTTTTCTAGATAGAAAAGCAATATAACCTCTGGATGGTACAGGGAAACTTAACCACAGTTACAGGAGATAAAATTATAGACCACGGAGATATTGGCACTGCTAAGGTTTTTGCTAATGGTATTTCACTTCTGCACCACAGTCTGCTGCTAAATCTTTAAGCTCTCTTGTCATTTGTTCATGTGGCACCCCTCCTGAAATGGCTTCACTGACTTCTTGCCTTACTAGTGCAGCACAAGCTCCAGCCTATCTCCCTCTTTTCAAGCCCCCTCTCAGATCCTTGCTGAGGCCACTTAGTTTTTACCCCCCATCTGAAACAAAGCCCCAGCAAATGGAATGACATTTACATGTTTTCTTCCCATCTTTCCTTTCCACCCTCTCTTCATTGTGCCTTCTGCTGGTGTTGATGTATTGTCTTGTTCATGTCACTTTCCATTAAAGGACCATGTTCATTGATGGCACTATGAATAACTAGTTAATAAAAGCATTTAATTGGGGTTGCCTAGACAGAAAGACCTGCTTGGCCTTCTTTGTTTGGAAGCTGTGGTATAAATAGCCTCTCTCTGCTGGCAAGAGCTGAGATCAGCAGTCGGTCCTCAGGAGAGGAAAGTCCTGATATGTGCCAATCAGCATAAACTACCAACTAAAAAAAACAAGGTTGCCTTTAAGAGATGCCAGAGTTAAACTCATTCAGTTCTCCAATAAATGGAACTCTGTTCATGGGATGCTCTCACTGGCAAAAGTGTGTGGTTGGGGGCATTTTCATCATTTCCCCATCATTGCTTTGGCTTTTTCCATGCCTCCTTTAAAATCTGTTCCAGGTGATTTGAGGATCTTCTGGAACTGCACTGGAGGTGGTTCAAGGACTTCGGGGGAAAGGCAGAAAGGATGAAAATCCCCTCTCCCTACCCCATCCACATTTCCATCAGCAGGAACTCCATTGGATTGAAGTTGGTTCCATCAATGGAGGTAGCAAACAGAAGGGGAACTCAGGATCCAACCCATTGCTGGAAGAGCCATTTCTCAGAGCACACACTTTGTATGCAAGAGTTCATAGGCCCAATCCCTGGCATCTGCATTTACGAAAGGAGCAGGTGCTGGGGGCAAAAACTCTATCTGACAACCCAGAGTGCTGCTGGATGGATTACTTTGGCTGACTCAGGTCTTAAGGATTCATACATCCATATATTCCTCCCTTCACTCAAGGAATTCAAGATTCTGTATGTGGGCACTGCTTCACTTCAGCCTCAACACCTCTGGGAGGAAGGGTAGACTGAGACTGACCCAACACTATGCATTAAGCTCTATATCTGAATAGCTATTTGTGGCTCGCTCTCCCAGGTGTGCATCTAACACCAGCCTGCACAATGTGTGACCTACCAAGAGGAATGAAGCCCATTAGCTACTTATTCTGGCTTGTCATGTTGCTGGCAACTTCTTTTTTGTATTATGCTAGGCGAGCAGGAAATATGGGAAGTCCCCATAGGGTTGTCAACACTGTGAACAATGCTTGGCATTTTGGCACCCTAAGCAGAACAGGCTTACTTCAGTGTGCTTAAACTAGTGCACACTAGGATGTTCCTTTGCTTAAAAAATAACTGATATCTTGCTTAACATGTATCTCTTAAGTAATTCACAGGTCATACTGTAAAACAGTTCTTTCCGGCTACCTGACAAATTCATTTGCAGATTTTGTTTCTAATTAATCCTACTAATATTGGCAGATTGATGATTTTGAAATGTTTCCACATGAGAGACTCCTGTTCGAATCTTTGTGTGTGCAGAATATGACAACTAGCTTGTTTGCAGTTACTATTTCAAATTTCATGGATCTTCAGAAATGGTATTAAGATTCACAAAAGTTTTTTCAAAACGTTCACTGCAGATATTAGACAACTTGGAACATGGCTTAGCAGAAGATGGAAGCATGACTAACATTACCCAGGAGAACAGACACGGTAGGTATACCCTAAAGCCTTTTTTTCCATAGACCATGTATTTTTATCACTTGCCCAGGTATTGTCAGAAGTTCTCACAGGATTGCTCCGTAGCAGTTAAAACAGTAGTATTGCCATTTATGCAGCCTATTCAGCCTTTAAAGTGATGCACCTTATACTTTGATTGCTGGAAATCATTTCACAGATTTGCGTTTTATTTTGATCAAGCTGACACACTAAATCAGATCTTTTTTTCAGTTTAAAAAAGAAAATGGCTGCCATTTTAGAATGGAAGATTTATTATTATAGTGGTGTGATGCTAAAGCACCGAAGAGAAACCCAAAGAACATTCAGTCTTAAAACTCATCTGCACGTCACCATATGTTTCTCTTCCTGATGTTTGAGGCTGAGTCCCAAACATGCTCTCTGTCATGTCAGCACTGTTCGATGTTTTCTTCAAAGGATGTTCTGCCCTGTGTTACCACATGTTGATTGCATATTTTGCAGCACTTTTATTTTGCTCATTTCCTCCCAAGAGTGACAGTAATATAACTGAGGACATGTTGTTAGTCACGAAGTCATGTCCAACCCATTGTGACCCCATGGACAACATTCCTCCAGGCCCTCCTGTCCTCCACCATCTCCCGGAGTCCACCTAAGCTCACACCAACTGCTTCAGTGACTCCATCTAGCCAGCTCATCCTCTGCCATCCCCTTCTTCTTTTGCCATCTATTGTTCCCAGCATTAGGCTCTTCTCCAGGGAGTCCTTCCTTCTCATTAGGTGGCCAAAGTATTTGAGTTTCATCTTCGGGATCTGGCCTTCTAAAGAGCAGTCAGGGTTGGTCTCCTCTAGGAAACTGAGGACATAACCATATAGAAAGTCCTTTCGAATGCCCGTTATGGGAATTTTAGTTATCTATATTAATGTTCTGTCCTTTGTATGTAACCCTATATCAGAATAACTGTATGAAAATAGCTAATTGTTTGAAGTTCCAAATTATTCAGATGTTAGATCCCATGGATAGTATGTATTCATTTGTTTGGTAATATTTAAAAATGCGCACTCTTGAAGCATCTCTGTTTCACTGTGCACATGCCAAGCTTATTTTCGCTCTCTGGGTTTGGGCAATCTAAGGTTGCCATTTGGCACACTCACGGCAGTTCTTAGTAGAGGTGAGCACTCCTCCTGGTGCATGTGGGAATGGAGCTGGATTCCTTTAGGTGAAGTGGCAGCGTGTGAGATGGTTGGTGAAGCCCGGATTCCTTCACTCCCCCATTACCCACAAGTAACAGTTGTGCATTTGCTCATGGTTCAGCTTTGTTTTCCAGAGGAGCACTGGTTTATAAATAAACCCTCCTCTCTTGGAAAGCAGTAAAGACAGAGGAAGGGAGGAAAAGGCGGTCGGGAAGTAGAGGGAGGTTGCCATCCATTCCTCCCACCCAGCCTAGCGGCAGGCTGCCTTGGCTGTCTGCTTTTGGTGGGCTGTGCTGCCATCAGCATTCACCCGTCTGCCTCCTCCCCCATGTTTCTCTGTGCCTTCTGGTAAAAATCCCTCTCCCGGTACTGGCATTGAATCATCCTGGCGAGCAGAGAGACTTGCAGGAGCTGGGGATGTGTTTGTTTTGTTTTATCACCAAAGCAACAAGCAAGCACATGGTTTGCTCAACTGTTTTGAATGAGTTCTGAAAGCCGTGTCAAATGGAGAGGAGTTTTCTGATTCAGAGCTGCTGTCCTAAAAACACGTCTTCAGGAGTTGGTCCCCTTAACCTAGTTGTGTCTTACAACACAAAGCTGTGCACACCTAGTCAGAAGGAGATCCCACTGAACTCTGAGGGAAATGTGTATCAGATCGCAGACAGATTTATGAGAAAACATGTTTGGGCATTGCACATGGTAGGCATGCAGGATTATTATGGGGAATATTGCTTTCTGATGAGAGTAGTACCACAGTATTTGCTCCCATTTCCATCGATGGAAAGCAGCTGTGCCATAGTGGCAGCACTAAACAGCCTCAGTAAAAAAAAAAAAAAAAAAAAAAAAAATGCCCTGGTTCCAATGGCAGTAAAAACATGACACAAGGTGCGGAAGAGGTTCTGAGTTCCACGTTCTGCCTCTTCTTCAGAAAGGGCTGACCTGGGGTCGGGGGTAGCAGTGCGAACCCAGGGGGCTACACCTTGTGGCATCCAGAGCCCTGAGTGAAGTCGAAGCGGCCAGCCAGAAAAATGCACTGTGGCATTGGCAGATATGGCATTAGCGGGTGGCAAATAATTCCTAAATTCACTTTGCAAGGTTACGTGTAGGAGGTGAGGGAGAGCCATAAAATACAGGGATCCTTCTTGCTCTTTTTTTTTTTTGTCAACCATGACCAAAGTGACCAAAGGAATGTCTGATTGCTTCTTGACGGCTGCCTAAGGCTCCCCCCACCCCCACCCCCACCCCCATAGTTGCTTTCCAGGTTCTTCCCCCACCTTCATCCTTCTCCTCACACTGCAGCATGACTGTCTCTGCCTGCCTGCTCTTTCCCTCACTGCAGCAGCTTTTTAGAGCTCGGCTTAGCTTGGCTGAGGAACAGGAGGCAGCCAGCGGAATCCTAGTGGGAGGAGGCGCATTTGAGCGTCTGTGAGAGGTTGTTATGCGCTTGGAGTGCAGCAACATTACAGCTGCCCGGCTGACTAATGCTGCCCAGAGGACACTTGTAGGGACTGTTGGCGTCTCTTCCTGAGTAGGTCAATCAGATCTGTTACCTGCAAGGGGCTCTAGTACACTTTTAAGCGGCAAGAAACTTTCCATATATGTCTTTGCGTGAGCTCCAGCTGAGGCAAACCTTCATTTTTTGCCTTGCGAACTGCTGACTGGAAACAGCCGCCATTCTTGATGGGATTAGATCGGCAGTATAATTTCCCTACTGCTGCTCTAAGGAGGTGTTGCACAAACCAGCTTGTTGCATTGGCTCGCTTCAAAATGGGATAGAGCATTCCATGATTTAGCATTGCACCAATTTCCTGGCAGCAGTCTCTCCCCCCCCCCCCCCCACCCAGGCATCAAGTCCTGCAGCTGCTCCACAACACACAAATCCCAGAGAAACAAAAATGGTAGCTTGGAACAAATGTACCAAAATGCAGCCTAAATTAAGAGCTGTAAAATAACGCTGTTTTTATCTAATGGGACAGAGGTTACAATTAGAAAGGGACATATTCCCTGTCACTTTGCTTATTTTTATTGTATTAGTTACTGATTTTTTTTTTTTTTTTGGCAATGACTAGCTTTTTAAATAGTTATAATGCATGTTAGAGGTTTGCTCTGCTCTGAATCTGATCTTCTGCCTGCTTTACTTGCATGACTCCCACTGATAACAAGCAGCTGGGGAAGAACATTAGCTGATCTCACCCTGTTTTGTGACTTCTGTAGAGGAATGGGCTCAGTTTACCATCTGTATTGGTTTCACATTTTACTCCCACTTTTTTGGGATCCTTGGGACAGGGACAAGAATATACTTGAAAGAATCTTTAATATTTTAAAAGTTAAATTCTAAATGCAGGCAGAGAAATTTAAAAAGCTAACTATTGACAAGATTTTTAAAGGCAGACTATAGCATACATTCAAATCAATCTGAATGAATATCTGAGGGCTTTTATGAAAAGCTCTATATAGCAAATCTCTGCAGTCATAAAAAGCATATTATGTTGTCCAAGAAAAGTGGTCATATCTCACTGCTGTTCCAGCCGTTCTGTTACACCAATTCTTTTTGGATTGTTCTTCATGCAGTATTAGTTCAAGGTGATAACGTGAGGCATTGGCATACCACCGTGAGCCTATCTATTGATTCAGGTGCGAGTCTCACTGAATGCAGTAGGACTTGCTTCTCCTAAATGTGCCTAACACTGCTGCCCCAGACACATTTAAATACCAACCAGTTTCACCCTGGCATTTAACGCAAGAGTCTCCTTCAGTTGCATGTGCAGATCTTAGATCCCTTTATACCTTGAAAGATTCAGATCCAGGGAAGTCATTCATTCTCTCACATCAGGAATGTGTCCACAAACTAGGGGAGTGAGAGATTGGCACCTGCGATATGCATGAGCTCTCGTAGCGTGGCGGGTGGCAAAGAAGCTTGGCAGCTTTTCCTGCTATCTCATAAAACAGAGGCAGGCATGAAGGACTCTCGACCAAGGCAGTCCTTATACCTTCATCCTCTGGTTATGAAATGAAATTTTTAATTTTGCTGGTCAGTTTGAGGGGGCCGAATGGTGTAAATTTAATCACATAAATTACATGATTGCACACCAGTGGTCATAATTACTTAAAGTCTTCCCAGCCTTCCCTCCCTCCCTCTTTGTTCTTCCTGCTATTGGAAAATGGATGCTTCCTTATAGAGTTGCCTGAGCTAAAAGCTGAGAGGTCGTTTCCCAGCTTTGTGTTATTGCTTCATTTATTCAGGCAGTCTGTTCCTTTTACCAATCAAGCCTCTTGCTATTGAGAGGGTGCAGGATTCTCTGCGTGGCATGGCAGAATGTGAGGAACACTGCTCAAAATGCAGTGATGTTAACGAGAGGAAATCGTTTAAATCAGAATGCATATGACTGATAATTGATGGCTAGGGAAAGAGCTTCTAATTTATTTGTGCACATTCTCAAGCTGCTCTCATTTTACAGCCTCTGTTCAGCTGTGGAGGTCACGTCTGGGCCGGGTGATGTACTCCACAGCAAACTGTCTGCTAATGATGAAGGTAGGTGGATGCAGTTGCTGCAGCGTTACCATATATACTCGAGTAGAATGTCAAGAAAGCCTGAGGATGAGTTAGGTGACTGTCTGAGAGATGTGAAGTGTAGCTGGACATTCCTCCAGCTAAATCATGTGAAGAACCATGTAAAAGCAATACAGGGTATGCATTTTTAATACTGCATTTACAACCAGCTACAGCTAGAATATGTTTCATGCATTGTTGCCCCTCTGTGCAGCCCTTGGCTTAAAGTGCTGCTCTAAGCGCACGCTTTAGCAGTGTCACTAATTGTCAGAGTTGTGTGGAATACAACTGAAGTGTTCAAATGCGACCATTACTCTTAGGCCTACTTGACACTAACTCAGGGATATTCAGCTCTTTCTGCTATACTAGCTATCTGTGAGAAAAACCAAGGAAGGGTCTTTTTCCCGTGCCCCACTCCTAGCACTCGCACCTCCAGTCTGCTTAATGTTATTCAATGCTTCCATGTCTTCCTGCTGAAGTTAGAAAGAAAGAAGACATATCCAATGCCTTTTCTGATTTTCTGAATGGTTCTGTGAATAGACACGTCCATCCAAAGTGTATGACAGGAGCAGCAGATAGCAACAGCCTTGACCATAAAATTGCTTCACAATTCAGTTGGCACGGCAGGTCCTGCAACACTGCTTAAGTCCATCTTAACCCCTTCTGTCTTCCTGGCCTGCAATAATTCCAGCCCACCAGAATGTCGATCTCTGTGAGGCTGAAAAAACTTATGCGCCATGTCAGGTGTTCTGTGTTCCTCTTTGAGGGCTAAAATTTGTCTCCAAATGTCTACTTTTGTTTTTTCCTAGATGTCTACACAGGGCCTGTGTCTTGATTTAATGCACATTTAAGAACTGCCTGTAAAACACTTCACCCTGGAATTGTGCTGTGGAAGCCACTGAAGGAAGATGCAATGCCTGACCAACGCTACCTTGTTGACAGGCTTCACTTCCCAGTCAGTTTACTTGCCACATTTGGTTTCTTTGTCTGTGCATTTTGTAAAGAAGTGATCTGCTGTGAATTGCCAGAAAGATCATTTTAACAGAAAGATCATTTTTTAAAGTCAAGAGGGTGATAAGTTTGCATGATTGTCATATAAGTGCAGGCAGAAGTTTAAAAACAATCAGAGAAGTCTAGAATCTTGCATTTAATGATGTCTATAAATGGCATTACTTCTAGAACCTGCTACATACATTTAATTGACAGCTCTTGAGCCCAGTACATATGCTCAGTCAACACCATGGTTGCAACCTGAAGCACAGACACTTGGAACAAGAGCAAGGCAACAGGTGGTGTTTGTCCCTTGGAGGCCCCTCAGACCTTGTTTTGAGCCTCTCTCGGTATGAGGCATACAAGAAATGGTGTGCAATGAACTCACCAGGACTGTGGTGTGGTGGTACCACTGTACAACAAACAAATTTCTGTGAAGCAGCTCTAGATACGGTCATGCAACTGTAGGTTCCAGAAGACATGGCCTTGTCCAGCCATTGTTGACACAAGAACAACAGGAGACGCTTTCTATAAACAGCTTGCCACACAGGAGTTACTGCTTGCAGAGGCATTTCAAACTAACTATCATTTTACATATGTTTGAGATCACCACGCAGCCTTTTATTTGAAATGGACAAAACTTTGTTTATCCAAAGAGAATAGATTTATAACCATCATCAAGAAACTTTGAACTGCTGATTTCTGTATTCCGCCAGCCCAAATACTGAACCTGGACAAGTGAAAGCATCAGCTCAGATCCTGAAGAGAAGTGCAAGGCAGCCCTTCCCAGCCGGTGGTTCTCCAGATACTTTGGACTTCAGCTCCTGCTACCATGCCCGGTGTTATTGTCCAAAACATCTGGGGGGGGGGTATCACGTTGGGGAAAGCTGCCTCAAAGTCTGCAATGTGCCATCTATCAGATGGGAATAAAAAATGATCTGCTTTGGTGAGGGTATATTTAAACCTTTGCAGCATTTAACAGACCAGAAGAAAGCATTTGCCTTACAATTAGGCGAAGTGAGGAAACTGCCACATATGGCAGAGGCTGAGGTGGCAGTGAGGGGAGGGAGGACAGAGCTATGTATGCTGCATGGCTTACCCCGAGTCCTCTAAGCTAGCCCCTTTCCCTTTGCTTCAGTGGAGGATGTTTTTCTGCCTCCAAGGGTGAAGAAAGATTCAACTGCCAGTCTGGTCCGCTTTTGCCCATGGAATTGGGAAAGGTCCCATCTCATCCTTTGGCTCAGCAAGCAAAATAGCCTGAGTCAACCCTGTTAGTAGTACTGTTTAGATGCGTAGTACTGATAAAGAGGGAAAAGTTGCTTAACGTATCAATTGTATACTGAAACAATCCCAATGTCATAATAGCAAAAATTTATTTGAAAGGCAAGAAAATGCTTGCATGAGCCATTTTGTGGTAATGATGGCTCTTAAGTGGCTGAAGTAGACTCACCTGAACTATACAGATTTTGTAGATTTGTTTCTGCTTTCCTTTTTCTTCCTTGTATTCAATCTATCTAGTAGCATCTCTCTTTAGTAATGGCTGGCCATCTGTTTGCTTTACGTTTTCCCATCTTTACACTGATTCTTTTGAAGCAACTTAGTCTTGGATCCAAAAGCAATCATGGTTTGAGTAAACATCCATGTCTAAACTCAGAAAATCAAGATCACTGCCTCCAATGTCAAGCCTTAAGACCTTGTTAATATGTGCTTGCAGCTTTCCCTTGCACGTTGCAGTCTACATTTTCTAACTCAGGCATAGTTTTCATTTCACTCTGTTCCATCAGGAAAATGTTCACATATGAAACTCAAGGCAGATCATTGTAATTCAGGGCAGTGGCCATGATCCCGGGAGCTGCACTACTATATATGCATCTACCAGGGCTTTTGGCTCAGGCCCCAGGAACAGCCTCTCGTGGCTCACAAAAAGCCGTCTATCAATGGACTGCTAGGTACCCTGAACTCCTTTGAGGGTATTATAAGTGTGCTCTCAGAACTGTGTCCTAATCTGGTTGTTCACATGTGCATTTCCACAATAGTGAGGCACGCCAAGTGCACTGGATTCATGTGCCACGAGGCAAACATCTGCACCACCAGCAATCTGAAATCCAGTTAATATTTACTCCAGCTAGGCACTGGGGAATTGCTGTTTTCTTGTTTGCCCTTGTAAGCGGCTTGCCAGGTGTGCTCCAGCATAGGTGTAGGGATACCACCGTCGCAATATACTTGGGGAGTGGAAGCCACAGGCTACTCTGTGCCCAGTGTGAGCAGAGCCAGATTGTAACATCTCAGTTAATCGGGAAAGGGAGTTAGAGAAGTTCAGTTATGTCTCACTTTTACAGAGAAGCTTCCAACAAAAGGCAAGAAAAAATTGACAGAGGCATGATTATCATTCACTTTACAAAGAAGCAGCATGCGTGCATAATCCATGCATGACTGCATTCCATACCACAGTTCAAAGGACAGCGAAGTTGAACTGGAATGTCATTGCATTTTTGCACGAACAAACATCGTATCTTTTCAGGTCTGGAAGATGGGATCTCAATGGCAAAAATGCACCTCAGCAAATGATCTTCCTTCTTGTTTTCCTCCCTCCTCTCTTTATTCTTTCTAAGTCCTCTTTCCCATTGTCAAAATGCAGGTTGTATAGTTCTTAGGCAGAGACATTTCCTCCCCCAACTCTCCCCACTTAGGAAACCCTCCAGAGAGGCATGTACATTGATGGCACAAAAATAAATGATCACAAGACAAATGCACATTAATTGTAGCTATATATTTCCCCCTGTGGGACAAATAACTTCATGGGTAGATTTAAATTGGGGAAACAGCTCAGGGAGAAAGGTTAAACCCTTTACCCAGTGCTTCAGTCCCAATCTAAATTGCCAAATTAAACATCACATCTAGTTTGATCCTAAGAATAGTAAGTGCTGGAGGAAAGGCAAGGCAAGACAGTTTGTTTATTAGGAAGCAATTGCTGTGTGTTTCTAATTTCAGAAGACTTTCTTTTGCAAGAATGAGCAAATTCTTCATGAATTGGACTAAAGGAATTCTCTCCCTGTTGCTCCCTCTTTAGAACTCAGTTTAAATGGCTAATAAGAGCACGTGGTACAGTCCTCTTACAAACCAGCATTTCCATGTAGAGGCAGTAATTTCCATGGAGCAACTTTCAGATAAGCAGCCCAATAGGCATACTGAGAAATTAGAGAGCTATGAGAGAACTGTTTTGCGTTAGAAAGAGCATATTCAAGTTGGGTCTTAGCTGCTGTACATGGTGAAAATGTTAATATCTTTTTTGTCATGAGTAGGAATAAGTAACTGTTTCATATACACTGATGGTTATTGTCTCATTCCAGCAAATAAGTTGCATACAAGTATTTTTGCTTCCAGTAATGGCAATAAGCTAAGTCTGTGAGAGAGCTGCATGTTAGTTCACTTGTTCAAGCATGCTTTTATGTGTAAACATTTGGAAAATACTATTGTACATATAGATACAGTAGAGTTCAAATGGTTTCTGCAATTGCTTTTACCTCTATATATCCAACCTGACCCAGAAATTAGTTTCTGGAGGGACCGCTGGATCTCAAGCCACTAACACAGGAAAGAGGAGAGTTGTCTGCCCTAGTAAGGCAAGGCCACCAATGCTTACAAATGCTCTTTAGATTTAGATCCTCTCTTCTAATGGAAAGGAAGCATGCAGCATAAATCTTATTTAAGTTATGCCGCAGTAATAGCCCTTGCGTACAGCATGACTGGTGCCACTACGGCATAGCAGCAGAAAGGGGCTGCCGGGTTCACTACATTCCTTTTTGCCTGGAACCATCCACTGATGGTCATATAAGTACAGAAACAAGATAGGTCCCGCATCTGCACTCCTGCACATCTGTATTATGTGCTAATGTCAGTGGACTAAATCCGTGTAACTGGATTTTAAAGCAGTTTTGCACGTAAGTGAGCCATTAAAGTGTAAGGCAGTGTTATTTGCCATTCGGACTCAATTTTTTATTTTCATACTTGGCTTGACATGAATACTGTACTGTCCGGCACCAAAATGGGGGAGAACCCATTTATGAAATGCCTCCGTGGAATATTTGGCCAGTCTCCTTGAAAACATCATTGGAACTTCACATCTGAGTTTACTGGAGCTCTAGGAAAGTATGGCAGCATCTTTGTTGGAAAGAAGGACAGAAAGAAACAGCTGGCAAGAGCCAAACTGGTTCATCTAGAGCTTCTGTGTGTAGAAGATGGCTTTCAAGTGGCCCTGCTGCTCCCATTATGACCACAGCCAGCCAGAAAACTGCTTCTGACACACAGGCCTCCAGAAGCAGCCTCTGATGCAGGTCCAGGAGCAGCTACGGGAAGGCACAAGTGTGTGTGTGCTTGCGTAGCATCCCTTGCGATTGCTGACAGGCTGCTGTGTAAAACTGGGGGAGCCCTTCTGTTAAGCACCGAGAACCTTTTAAATGCCTTCTTATTTGGTCCAGGTTATTTGGTCCAGCTTTTGCTGTCTCGTTGGTGTATATTGCATTGCCTTTGCTGTTGTGCTTTAATCTAGTTCCTGGATATCATGGGTGAGTCAGAGGAGGCATGCATATTAATAGGCTGGAAGCCAAGCAGGCGGGCCCAACGGTATTTTCTCACTTTGGGTAGTAAAAGTACCTGACAGTGCTCCTCTGTCTTGCTCTTTCTAGAGTGAATTCATTTGTAATGTCTTGTTTCAGTTGTGCATTTTTTAAAAATCCATATTTAAATTCAGGCCAAGATAGATCAATCAGGAAGCCATATCACAAGAGGCAAACATTCCTAATACTTTTTTTTATGTATCTTCAACATGTTTAATAGTAAGAACAGGGAGAAGAGAAATCTCTCCTCATTCACTAAATCTCATTAAACCAAACTTTTTAAAAAATAACCTTCTTCTAGCCATAGTGACGGCTCCCGCATCAAATAGCATATGAGTAGTGGCCATTTTCCCAGAAAGAGTAATTTTTAGAATATTGAAAATCTGGCCAACGATGCACATAGAATCATAGAATAGTAATGTTGGAAGGGACCAAGAAGGCCATTGGGTGCAACCCCTGCCGGTGCAGGTCACCAATTTACACCGTCCCACATGGCACTGCATAAGTGTGCATTTGCTGGGCAGAATGGTGGTGAGAAACATGGGGTGTGTGCTGATAGGTATAAGAGTCTCCTTGAATTTGATTCGACTTTGAGACAGTTTAGTACTAAGCTGTCTCCATCTCGGTGAAAGGGGAGCAGAGAAAGAGGTCTTCTCCTCTGGTTTCAGGTAATAATGGAAACATGCAAAAAGATGCATGACAGCTTAGTCCTAGTGTGGGGAACCTTTAGATTATGTTATCAGCGATTGTATTCCTTTCTTTTTAATGGTTTTTGCTTCCTTCTGGGCTTGCATGCAGCTTCACATGCTTTACACTGTGCACACAGAGCACAGACTAGAGAAGAATGCTGAGCTTGCATCTTCATTTGTGTGCTTTTGACCCCTTAGGACTATGTGCTTGCTGTGGAGGCATATCACACCGTCATCAGATATCACCCCGAGCAAGAGCCACAGCTGCTGAGTGGAATTGGAAGGATTTTCCTGCAGGTACGTGTTTGATACCACAGAAAGCCAAGCGACAGGCCACAGTAAATGTTTGTTTGTTTGTTTGTTTGGGTATTTTTACCCCATCCAGTAAGCCAGCGGGTCTCTGGACAGCTTACAATTTGTCCGTTCTCAAAATGGCCTGCTTGTCTATATCGTGCATGTGTTACGGTGTTCAGGAGCCAAAGTCACTGCCACTATATCATTACTTTATGGTGAAAACAAAATGAGTGGTGTGCCTTTTGAAGTCCCATGCTTGACTGCAAGGCAGAGAAGACTGTGTGGGGAGAATATCCCAGCTTTTACTTACCAGATTGGTGTCTTGCTTGTCTTTACAGACCATTCAGAATACTGGTCAGTACAAAGCAGAATGCCCTTGTTTTGTAGGCAACGGGCATTGTCTGTATTGCTAACCAGCACTGAAGGGGAAAGTTATCATTTAAATAGCCAGTCCTGTACCTCATAAAATGTATATATAGTATTTGCTGAGGACTGATTTGTAGAGGAATGACCCTTGCTCCTTTTTAAGAACTGCTTCTCGCTTGACATTTTGCACTTTGCTATAAATTAAATGTGCACCCAGTCATTTCAGTATGGGTGCAATAAATAGTCTGCTCTCCCCTATAGAATACATGTAGGCAGTTTCATTTTCTGTTGATGAGTTGCAGTTCTTTCCTCATGCTGAATGTAGTTGTGCGGGGGTCCCTTCTCCTTCCTGTTTTTTGTTGCTGTTTATATGTGAAACAGCAAAGCTTTCTCAGTAGGTAGAATTTACCTCTGATTCCTAGGATGAAAAACCTCACATTTCCGGCTGCCTGTGCCCTAGCATATCCCTTTTCAAAAGATGAGTGCTACATTGACCCGGAGTGCCAATCTGGCACTGCTTGCTTTCTAGTTGATTATCCATATACACCAGTTTCCAGTGCCTTGTCTACCGAGAGAAGAAAGATGGGCCACCACAGTTATTAGAAAGCCAAGTTTGCTTTTAGTTTGCTTTTCTCAAGTTCTGCGAAATTATCAGCCATTGATAGAGTGGCACTATATCAGAATCTATGCCACAATTATTGGTAGAATAATTTGAAATTTGTGCCCTTTATAGAATTCATAAATTATGGGATGGCCCATTTCTCTCACAAGTAGCCCCCGAGAAGGGTCCTTTGTTGTTTTTAGATGGTTTTCTATTTCTCTCATTATTAATATGAGAGAATCAGAGAATATTTATTTATTTATTTATTTATTTATTTATTTATGGACAGTGCCTCTAGGCTGCTCTATAAAAGTTCTGAGGATGAGTCACAACAAGAAATCGAACAATTTAAAGTTAAATAATTAAACAGTAAAGTAATAAAAATGCGTTAAAAACTGTTTCAGAGATTCTGTTGGAAGAATCTCTGAAGAACCTCTCTCAGGTACATGCATGTATAGAGAAACTGTCCTTCAGGTACCTTAATCCCAAGCTGTGAATGGTCTTACAGTCAGAAGCCACACCTTGCTTGGGCAGGGAATGGCCTGGGAGCCGGTGAACAAGGCACAGCTCTGTCCCGGTGTGGTCATGTCACCCATTTCTGGCTGGCAGTGTCAGAGCCATATCCTGAACTGACCAATGTCCAGACTGCTTTGAAGAATTATTATTAGCTGTCATTTTTAAATACTAAATTAGAATATGCTGCTATTTTTAGCTTGTCAAAAACACAAGCTATCCCATCACTGCATTATTTTTCTTTAGTGCTACATATAATGTGAATTGACTTCATCTGAAAGTCTCAACTGCTTGTTTTTGTTATTGCAGTGGTGGTTTTTTAAGAGAGTATCATAACCCAGCCTCCTTTGGATTCAAAAATATATTTTTTCATCATTAGGTGTTTCGTGGCTGTATGTAACTAACAGAGTATTAAAGAATCTGATATATCAGCTATGAATACTGAACTTCAAGACATTCTAGGGAAGATAATGTATGCCAGTTTGTGTTGCCAAAAGGGCTTGTAAACCAACAATAGATTTTACTAGAAGTCCCTTTAACTGACTGTTCTGGGTCCCAGTGGAGCGCACAGTAGAGCAGAGTTCACTTCCTGGCTATGATCTCTCGCTTTGAGGTCCGTCGCAGTCTGGATTTGCTGCAAAGGCAACATTCCCAACCTTGGGGAGGATGCAAGGAGAGTGCCTCATGGTGTCTCAGAGGAGCAATCTGTCTGTCCAATTCAAAGAGCAGTGTTAACAGGCTCTGAAGGGAATCTTGTCTTCTTCAGTGTTCGCTGTTATAGGGGGCCTTGAGGGAGGAGGGATTATTGGATATTCTTGAATTAGTGGTTTTACTGTCAGAAAGAGGCTTTTTCCTTCAAGTGCAGCAGAAATGAAGGCAAAGCACAAGGACCTGTTGGCCTGCTTACATAACCTTCAACAATAGCATTTCCCGTGTTTTGGAGCGGCAGCACCAGAGACCCTGCCTTTTACTGCTTGCCAGCATTCCACTATCTTGTACTTTTAGACAACCAGAAGAAGAGTTTGCAGATCACATCTGATGAAATTTGGGATGGGGGCAGGAACGGCAGAGAAAATCCCAATGTTGCCCCAGGATGGGGGAAGGGAGAGAATGGCATGTTAATGAAGTTCAGTGCATCAGTGAAGCCCTAATGGAGAATATTAAGTGTGTAGCATGGGAAATCAAAGGGAAATAATGTGCTCAACATTAAACAAAACCATTGTCCCAGACCTGAATGCTCTTAAGATTTAATTACAGAGAAAGCAAGTTCATCTGCATGGGTAGAAAAGAAGAATATGCACGTGCGCACACACGCTCAGAGAGAGAGAGCGCATGCGTGCTATTAAGGTTTATTGGGTCGAAGGCCCTGCTGCACAGTCAAGTTTTCTAATACTCCAAGAACGCCAAGATGGGTACATCTCATGGTTAGGCTGAAGAGTTCCACAGTAAAATCTTGGCTTTCTGGCTGAATGCAGCCCAACAGCTGAGCATGGCTGCCTGCTGGAGAGCCGAAAAGGCTTCTGCTTTTGCAGCCTCTCTCTGCCTGCCCTAGATGCCTTGCAGTTCACAACAGATGCCCAAGGAGCTGCATTTGATAATGGTGTCACAAAATGTACAGGCCTAAATGCTCCTCCCTTTGAACAGCAGCCCTGCCCAACTTTCAGCCCTGTTCAGTCACAAAGCTGAAACAAGAGCTGTGCCATGCATTTCACACACACATGCTGTCTAGTAACAGCACTCTCCCATTTTCTTTCTTCACTGCACTCAGTAATTTGTATAGAGAACTAGTCTAATTTTCCTTTCTTTCTGACCATTTATATTGTTCATTCAACTACCAGCCATGCACAAAACCCCACCTCTTCCCCCTTCAGGGAAGCTAGAGAGTGTGAATCTAAATGTTGCAGGAAGGACTAGCATTGCCTGAACTAAGCTATAGAAAAGATAGGGTATGTACGGATATACAAAGCTTGAGTGGGAAGTCCACTGTGATCTGCATTTGCCCCCTTTTGGTCAGGTTTGCAGTTGTCTTCAGGATACCAGGAGGAGCTGCTAATTACTCCTGTTTCCAGCAGAACTCCATGCAGATTGGTTGGCTCTTGGGACAATCCCAAAGGACTTTTGGAGCAATGTTTCAAGAGTTGAGGATGGGAAGATGGACACAGATTGGCTTACATTTTTAAAAAAGACAAAGAAGTGTTTAACCAGTAAAAGACATAAGTAGGTGTGGAAGGGGGTGGAAAAAGGTTAAAGATGCAAGCTTGCCTGATCATTGCTATATTTGGAGCAGGTATGTGTGTCATTTAAAAAGTAAAGACAGGGAGTAGAGATTGATCTCCGTCTTGGTTAATAAAGGATTCCAAGCACGGGATTGGAACCTGGATCTTGGAAGTGGTTAACGCTTCTCTGAGGGAGGGTCGGGTGCCTGCTCCTTTAAAGGAGGCGGTAGTCCGACCGGTCCTGAAGAAGGCGTCACTGGATCCAGGGATGGCCGCTAACTATAGACCAGTGGCCAACATCCCGTTTCTGGGCAAGGTGTTAGAGCGAGTGGTGGCGGGACAACTCCAAGCACTCTTGGATGAAACTGATTATCTGGACCCATTTCAGTCCGGCTTCAGACCCGGGTACGGTACTGAATCTGCCTTGGTCGCCCTGTACGATGACCTGTGCAGGGAGAAGGACAGGGGGAGTGCGTCCCTGTTGGTTCTCCTGGACCTCTCAGCGGCTTTCGATACCATCGACCATGGTATCCTTCTGGATAGGCTGGCGGGATTGGGGGTCGGAGGCACCGCTTTGCGGTGGTTCCGCTCCTATCTCAACGACCGATTCCAGAAGGTGGTGTTGGGGGACTATGGCTCTGCGCCATGGCAGCTTTGCCATGGGGTACCGCAGGGTTCCATTTTGTCCCCTTTACTGTTCAATATCTACATGAAACCGCTGGGAGAGGTCATCAGGAGGTGTGGGCTGCGGACCCATCAGTATGCTGATGATACCCAGCTCTACCTCTCGTTTTCCACCAATCCAGGTGAGGCAGTGGCTGTACTGAACCGGTGCCTGGCCGAGGTAATGGGCTGGATGAGGGCCAATAAACTGAAGCTCAATCCAGACAAGACGGAGGTCCTGTTGGTTGGCGGTTCGGGCTTCGGAGAAGGTGACCTGAACCTTGTCCTGAATGGGGTTGCACTCCCTCCTAGGGACAAGGTCCGCAGCTTGGGAGTGCTCCTCGACCCGGAGCTTTCACTTGAAGCTCAGGTGACAACAGCGGCGAGGAGCGCTTTCCTCCAGCTTCGGCTGATTCATCAGCTGCGCCCCTACCTGGAGTACGACTGCCTTGCAACAGTGACTCATGCGCTGGTGACTTCCCGTCTTGACTTCTGTAACGCGCTCTACGTGGGGCTACCCTTGAAGACGGTCCGGATACTTCAATTGGTTCAGAATAGAGCTGCCAGGCTGCTGACGGGGACTGGACGTTATGTTCACATGACCCCAGTTCTCCGTCAGCTTCACTGGCTCCCCATTGAAGTCCGGGCCCAATTCAAGGTGTTGGTAATGACCTATAAAGCCCTAAACGGCTTGGGTCCTGGTTACCTGAAGGAGCGCTTACATCCATATTTGCCCAGTCGCCCCCTGAGATCGGCGGGAGAGGCCCTTCTCCGGGAGCCCTCCGTGAGAGAAATTAGGAGGGTGGCTACTCGGAGAAGGGCTTTCTCAGCGGTGGCGCCTAAGTTATGGAATGCGCTCCCCAGAGAGGTCCGCCTGGCGCCGTCGTTATTTGTTTTTCGGCGCCAGGCTAAGACCTTTTTATTTAAGCAACATTTTAAATGCTAAATACAATTGAATTTTATCTGGCCAGGGCGGCTTATTTTATAATGTGAGTTTTAATTAAGATTATTTTATATGGATTTTAACTTGTTTTATCTATGTTGTAAGCCGCCCCGAGGCTTCGGCGAATGGGGCGGCATAAAAATGTTTTAATAAATAAAATAAATAAATAAATAAACAAAAACTCACTGCTCCTGGAGGTAGGCATAGTTGTATGCATAATAACTTTTTATGATGGTTGTGTTTGTTTAGAGTCCTGGGTGTCTCCTTTTTGGTCTTTTGCTGCTGTAATTCTCTTAAATAGAACATATTTCTGAAAGGAATCACTTGACCCAGTTGGATTGGAACCGAGTGGGCAGGCTTTCAAGGTTTTCTTTTCGTTCAGAGATGATGTTACCTACATGATGTTTCTACAGCAACCATGGGCGATAGAATTTTATTTTATTTTATTTTATTTTATTTTATATTTTATATCTTATTTTTAATGGAGTTCACTTTGGTCCAAAATCACCAATATTAGCCTTGAGTATTTCTGACTGGAGTTCTGTGTTAACATTCCTCATGTGTTATCTTTTTTTTCCTAGAGTTGGCAGGTATTTTTGTATGAAAATTTACCTGCTGACAGGTCTCTTATGTGCTTTGTTAATTGCGGTAACTGCTTCTTACATTTTTTCAGATTGGAGACATAAAAATGGCTGAAAAATATTTTCAAGATGTTGAGAAAGTGACTCAAAAATTGGATGGACCGAAGAACCAAATTATGATTTTAATGAACAGGTGAGAAATGTAAAAGCTAAATTAATCTTAAACATGATTTTGCAAAGAATGCACTGTGAACATTAAGGGGCCCTAGAGAATATTCCTTTCTCTTCATTTCTCTTTTATGTAACTACAACTGTCAGGAAAAAAGATTGATTGGCATCTACCAGCCCATGAGATTTGTATGACATGGTGTAGCCATGTTCTTTTGGATTGAAGAAGTTATCTTTCCTTTGTTACAAGAACTGACTTTAAAAACATTTCTTGTCCACTACAGACTTGTCTTCCAGCCACGTTTCAGTTTTGCAGTTCTGTCCATATTTGGCAAGACATCCCATTCAGTCCAGTGGGAGTTACTGATTATGGATCCAGTCGCCAAGTTGGACCCAGAGTTGCACTCAGCAGAGTCACACTCATTCTGGAGAAAAGCAGCTGGGCAGTGACTTAAATCAATCCATGTCTTCCCTGCGCATAGCTGGGAAACCCATCAGAAACATGGAAAGTGAGACTTAGGAGAGGAGGAGGAAGAATCAGTAAATTCACCTCCCTCCAGCAGAGCAAGCTTTTGGTTCATGCACCAGCAATTCTGAATCCAACCACTCACATTTAGAACTGGGTTGGGAAAAGACTAGTTCATACATCCATATTTGATTATGTGTCCAATACACCCAAGATTTTTTATATTATATTTTGTATAATATATTTTGTATATATATTTACATTTGCCAATGCAGCAAATCTCTTTGCAAGCACATACAATTCTTCTGGAGAAGAAATCAGAATTCACTGCCATTTCTCATTAAGTAGGCTTTTGGTGGCAAGCCTATACTTCTCTCCCACAAAGTATGAAGTAGTGAACAACTACTTTTATTGTCAGCATATAGTTTTAATTTGCATTGTTTAATCTGAAATTCAAATCATTGCTGATAAAATCATAGCTCAGTATTGATTCAGGACAGCTTCATGTAGATCTGTTGCCAAAAGCACTTACCTCTTTAAGGAAACAAGGGTGGTGGGCCCTTTTGTAATTATTCCTTGACATTTTAGTAGTGCTTCTCTGAAGGCACTCTCTCTCCTCTACTATTCCAGGGCATTTCTTCATCTTGGTCAGAATAACTTTGCAGAAGCCCACAAATTCTTCACAGAGATTTTGAAGGTTGACCCATCAAATGCTGTGGTAAGAAATCTCTCTTGTAGTTAAAACAAAGGTCCATGAGTTTCCAAAACTGTTCTTTCCTCAGAATCTAGTGACTAACATGTAATAATGCCTTATGGAGCAACAAGACCAAAGTCAATAATCTCAGGGATAAGTGCATTAAAATCAAAGACCGGATATCAGATCCAGTGTTGTTACAGAACTGTTGGCAAAACACTTTCTGACACTGGAAGCAGAAGAACCACGTATCCCTCTCCTTCCCGTCTTCCATTAATCCCTTGAATTTTGCTCTGGAGGGCTGGGGAATCCTCTGGAGCAGTTTTAGGAGTGTCACAGAAGCTGCAGAGGGAGGAGAGGAGGAGAAGATTCTGCTACCCTCGCGGCCGTCCACTAGTATGACATTAAGCTTTAACCACAGGAATTTAGAGCTGGAAGGAGATAGACATTCAGGCAGTCTAACGTGGTATGAAAGCATGGTCATCATTGCACAGCCAAGAATGAAGGGTACACAGCCTGATTGCTTTAGCCGTAGTTCCCCTGGCCTCCATCATAGCAACACTGCCTGATTTTGGCCCACTGCCAATCTGGTAATGGCTGTTCTGAAAGAAAGAGGATGTCCAAGACTCAGCATAAAGCCAAGGGTCAAAAAAGTGTATTACAATGTGGTACAAATTGGATTCGAATGTAATGTTTGGCTTCCTGAATGAATGCCATGTAACATTTCTCTAGGCTAACAACAACGCAGCTGTGTGTCTGCTTTATCTGGGGAAACTGAAGGATTCCCTCCGGCAGCTGGAAGGAATGGTTCAGCAGGACCCTAAACACTACCTCCACGAGAGCGTGCTCTTCAATTTGACAACCATGTATGAACTTGAGTCCTCTCGCAGCATGCAGAAGAAACAGGCTCTGCTTGAGGCGGTGGCTGTCAAGGAGGGCGACAGCTTCAACACTCAGTGTCTCAAGTTAGGATGAGCCCATCCTCTTCTGTTCCAGAAAAGCTCATTTCAGAAGTTGTATATACTCCTGCTAATCTGTAAATGTTCCTCTAGCAAGTGCAATAAAAAGCTTTTTAATTATGAACATATGGTAAAAATGCTACAATGTAAGACTTTATAACTCTGGTCTATTTCAACAAATCCTGGCTATCACCCTAGGGATTTTGTGTTGATCTACAGCCAACTCCATCCCTGCAGTTATTGCCAGCTTATAGTATATACAAACAATCACAATTATTCAGATGGGTTTTCTCCCTGCAAATAGCACCATATTTGAGCTAACTTGTCTTGATGGCTTTGGTTCTAAACACATTCAAGGCTTAGTGATAAAATGGCACCAGCTAAACTCATTGTATGTGTATAATTGAAGGACAGTGGGCGGCTGAGGAAAAAACATTAAAATAGGAGATTTTAAAGCAAGGCTCTTTTGGGATTTTTCCTAAAGCAGCACACACACTAGTCCTGTCCCATGAAACCTAAGTAAGTGATCAAAGATGATCCATGTATTTATGTGACATGGTCCCGTTTGCCCTGCTCTACAGTACCTGTCCAAGGTGTAAACACGAAGTTATCACCGCTTTCTGCATGGCAGCTCAGACAAAACACACGTGCACACCCAGTGTGCTTGCACTTGAATTCCTGAGCTATGGATGCTCCAAAATGGGCTCTATTATCTTTCATTTGCTTATGTGACCAAAAGTCATCGGTATATTGCCAGATTTTGAGGGCCCAACTTGCATCTCAGCCATGGTCAGAAGAAGCCAGCCCAAAGAAAGAACACAACTGCATGCATTTTGTTTGCCAGTGCCATCTCTCATCCTTGGCCTGAACAAGCCTGTGCGTGTTTCCTTAAAAGTAATATTTTATCCCAGTGCAAACTTCTTTTCTCCAAAAACATAGCCCAGTACACTAGTGCTATAAGAGTGTCCCAGCTTACTCTCCCTGCCTCCCTGCCTAGTGCTCCCTCAGTGCAAATCAGTGGTACTTTTGTCTGCATTGTATATACAATAGAATTTTATACCAAAAATTAATATATTAGATATATTAATTGATTTGCATAACTACTAAGCAGCCATAGCATTTCTGCTTTGGTCGTTGGGTGTCTTTATTATCCCCTTTCCATGTACCAGTAATTCACTTGCTTTCACAAGAGCAGCTATAAGTCCTCAAATATTTTTAAACAGCAGCAGTATTTAATTTTCTTTTCTCTTTGGTCTCAAAAATGAGAAGCTGACCTCACCTTTTGACATTCTTGTGGGGCCTGCCTTTATCCGTTGGTTCTCCATCCATGAGGCAGAAGGTCTTTCTTTTGATTGTTTACAGGTCCTTCTACTGGGACTTTGGAGCATGCTACAATTCATGCAGCCTCCTCCTGTCTGTTCCTAAGCCAGTGTGAAATGCAGGGTTTCTGCCAGTCATTTATTCTAAAGAGACCGCCTGGGCTTTCAGAAATATGAGACCTGTGAATCCTAGAAGGAGTAATACAAAACATTGTCTTTGGGCTTCATGCTATTGTATGTTCAAAGAACAGCTGGTGTGAATTTGGATACAAACATGCATCCATCCTTTCTTTGTCTCACTGAACTCCCAACAAAGAGGCTCTCACTTCCAGTGAAGGTGCTTCCTCATGGCATGTTTAAGCAGCTACCTTGTAATGACTCAGTCTGGAGACTGTTGCTAAATTAGAGTGCACTGCAGAAACTAGCTTCCCGTTTTGGTCAGTAGAAACTATTCAGCATAGCGCAAAAAAGGAAAGTGTTTCGGTGAGTTCTTTAGTCATGACAAAAGAAACAGTACAGTTTCAACAAAAGTGTGAGCCATTTCCAGTCTCTGGTCCAAAAGCTATCAAGCCTAGTCTTTGTGGCAGTCATCTGTTTTCAAAAGCAAAAAGAAAAAAAATCTCCTGGTATTTGAACAATAGGAGCAACCACTCCAAGGAAATGTGTGTGTTTCTTACACAGGCACTCTGTTCATAGTAGGGACTCCGTATATTTTAGGGTGTTGATTCAGACCCTTAGGCTGGATTTTTAAGCACTCCAGATGGTGTGGCGACCACAGGAGCACCACTTCATTCCCCACCAGGGCAGCACAAGCAGTGCCAGCCTGAAAAGGATTAGTTAGTGCTACTGAGGAGGAGGAGGAGCTGCCCCATACACGCCTTCCTTGTGGACTGGGGCTTCTCCACGTTTTAACAGACACAACATCCACTCTAGGTCAAGCTCCTGCCTGTGTAAATACTCCACACCTGTCCCTTCAACTGTGCAACCTTCCTGATGGGCTCACTTTCTGCTGGGCTTATGCAAAAGGTAAGTTTTGAAGAGGAATTTGAAGGCAAACCAAGAACACACACCGTGAAGGTGCTTGGCAAAGAGGTTCCAGACTTTTTCATTGTTACTATTACATTACTTCTATACCCTGTCTTTCTTCCCTTGTAAGGAATCAAGGCAGTCTGCAAGCTGGTCTATAGTTTATTCTCACAATTACAATCCTATGAGGCAGGTTAGACTCAAAGTCCATGACTGACCCAAAGTCACCCGGTGCAGTCACCCAGAGTAGAACCTGGATCTCCTGAGCCTTGGCCCAGACATCTCACTGCCATGCCGTGATGACAAAAAGAGCATTAAGAAAGAGCAGACCGTGGTGTGCAGGTAAATGAAAGGCCATTCTGTGACTGCACACTGATAGAAAGGTGATGGGTAGGACTGTAACTGAACAATGGGGGAAGAGCAAGGGGACAAGACACTGGAAGTGCTTGAAGATGAGAACAAAAACGTTCTGAATTGGGAGCCAAACAGGAACCCAATTTGAGGATGAATGACAGGGATAGAAAACATGACCTTCTGGATATTCCTGGAGTGCAACTCTTACTAGCCCTGGCCAGTATAGTCCATGGGGAGGGATGATGGGCATTGCAATCCAACAGCATTTGGACAGCTGAACGTTCCCCAATGGGCACCCCATAGTGTGTTTAAAGGTAGAACAGTGGATTATTTTTAGCAACACAAATTCCCTTCTAAGCAAGCATGAGGAAGTATGAGCGCCTGATCTCTTTTGCATCCAGTCCCGCGGGACGTCTGCGTGCCTCTGGCACTCTGCAAGTGCCTTCATTTATACAATTGGCCAAGCACTGAGAGTAGGTGACAAGGTTCCCACATTCCCAAATATGGTATTCCCTGAAAAACGGGCTGCCCGTGCTGCAAGGCGACGGTGGTTATACTGTGCAGATTTGCCTGGCTGGATGTATCTATAATGCATAAAGCGCTGGCAGAGCATGTCAGCAGGTGTGCTCATCTTATTGCCATGCTGCTCACACGCTGCTCTAAAGAGAGCCCAGGATAATTCCAAAGGTTACTGCGATGGGTGAATGAATGGGCTAAGAACTGACCTGCTTTATAGGTGACAATGAGGAAACCGCCTCTCTTTGCACGTTAAAAGCCTGCTGCTTCAAAAGCAAAATTAAGGCAAGGGAACTATTAAAACGAGAGAGCTGCCACTCAAGTGGGGGTATGGAGGTGGGGGGGAAATGTCATCGGCTGCTGCTGCTGCTGCTGCAGGAGCAAAGCATCCATTACTCAAACATGTTCCACAATTCAGCAGCAGCAGCAGCGAATGCAAATCAGGCTCCCAGGCTAGCTAACTTCCAGGTAATTCTGGCCAGAAGCAGCTTTCCTAGTCAGCTCTTCAAGTCAGCTTGAGGATTACAAGCTTGAGAGATTCACATCTCAAAAGGAAAGGGTGAATTGGCCACAACCATTATGTTAGGGTAGGATTAGGGGAGAAAGAAGACTGAGGGTGTGATTGCCGCATTAGGCTGGATAGTCTGAATCAGCCCTTGATCTGGGCAGGCCTTTGCAAGATTGTTTGCAAATCCTTCGAGTTGCACAAATGACACCAGCTGTCAGTAGGGCTAAAATCATCAAATGTGCAGCACAATGTGAAGGTGAGATGGGACAGAGGGAGGGAAACGGGAGAGGGGATGGTGCAGGCAAGATTTGAGAAACAGGTAAAAGTGGCTTTCCCAAGTGATGGTTCTTATTGTCAAAACTGTCATATCTAAATTGAAAGTGCTAAAAAGGTGCAGAATTAGATCTTTTAGAAATTAATTATTCAAAGAGGCTGCCTTTGAAGACTTACTTCCAAAGCTCAGGCACACTCTAGTGGTGGAAGGCAGAACTTCTATTATATAAAATTACAATCTGTACAAGCAGATCTAAGAAAAATTAGCTCAGACATCTGAACCTTAGCTAAGGATAGATTTGCCAACTTTTTGGCCAGTCCCAGTGGCTGTGTCTATAATTTCTGCTTGATCTGCAGAGGTTAGCAGATTAAAATGTTTGTCTAAATGCCACAGAACTCTTCAGTGACTCTCTGCTACATTTGTTATTGCTGCAAAAGGTCCAAGAGCAGCTCAGGAAGATTCTTTTGGTTATTTGACAACCCCGTCCATGGGATGGATTGTAGTTTTGTTGTTGCTGTTCTCCTATTTTTTATTACATGGTTTCAACAAAAAAATGAAATAAAAATGTGATTACATCAATATGAAATTATCTATTTCAGTCCATACACATAAAGAGCTTGTGCGTGCTCACATACAGACAGTTCTCCGTCGTGGCCTCTGTGCACACATACAGACAGGTATGAAATCTACAGGTTTCTAAGTAGTATAAGCTTCAACAAAACCATACCAAATATCCAAGTTAAGTATCTATCTGCAGATATACATCACCCTCGCAAATGCTGAAAATGTTATAAGAGCTTCAGTCCAGAGGTAGCTATGTAAATATCAAGGAGTGTTCCAATACAAATTTATCCACATAATGACCTACTGCCAAAAAGGGGCAACTATTGGGCATTGCCAGAACATGTGCCTAATAGAAGGATCAGCTGCATAATGCCTCCAACAGTTAGCTCCAACAAATCCTTATTGAAGAGACATCACAGCATCCAATAGACACAGTTTTTGCTAAATAAATTTCAATCTGTAATCCACAGATACATCTGATATAGAAGACAAAGTGGTGATGTACAGATTAGGAAAATGGGTCAATCAAGTTGCATATTCTCTTCTTGCTTGACACCTTTGTT